CACAGCCAAACCATCTCTATCATTTCAAGGCATGTCTGCACTAGCAAGTCATCAATGAGAAATTTCCCCTGTGATGAAAATCCTTTGTGGTTCCAGCCCCGACCTTGTGATGTTCGGAACCATTCCACTGATGCATGTGCAACTCCTCAACAGCACCCATGAGGGCAGATGAAAAGGGAATGAATACATCAGGATGCAAAGGCTGATGGCTAGAGGCCATGGCATTCCTCTCAAAACAGTTGCCAAATACCTAGATGTCTAGGATTTGCCTAACAGTGCAGCTACCTGATACAATATTTTGGTTTTCAGTAAAATAAATCCCATTTTCCACCATTTCTCTAACTGCTGAGTTTGGATGGCATCCCCTGTGCTGCTAAAAATCAAGGTGAAGCTGATGTTAAAATAGAAGCTTCTGCTTAATTTTCTTTTTAACCTTCTTCCCCCTGTGCCTTCTTTTATTTTAGCCAGAACAAGGCTTCTTTGGACCTAGGTAATAGTGGTACTTCAGGCTTTACAGAATTTCAACCCCTGCAGTCTTACGAATCCCACAGATGTTACATTCATTTATATCAGGTGGATTTTGAAGGACGCTGATACTCTATAATGGCAAGAATTAGTGGGCAATGTATTCAAGGAAGATAAAGATTACATTGAGAGTTTTGTATCATTCAGGTTAGCTTTGCCACAGCATTATTTGTACTTATTTGAAAAAAACTCTCACTAGCATTTGCACTAGGCTTAATTTGCATGGAAATGTAGCAAAAAGCATACACTATATTTTGTTCTTTATTCTACATTTTTTTTCTGGCTAAATATAACTATACATTTGTGTTACAGAATACTTTTAAGAACTTGTACTGCTCAAGACTTATGTTCTCAATTTTTAATTTATTTTTTTTTTTAATGTAACAAGAAGAAATCAAATCACCCCAAGCAGTCTTGTCAAAATAATCCTTCTGGCTTCCTGCCAAGTTCTGGAATTTGACTGTATTGTCCTCCAGTTCACTTATTTGCATTTTGTTAGAGACTTTACTAATTCTCTTTACATTGTAATGACTGATTCAGATGTTGAATGTCGACTCGCTGAATAGTGAGTGATGCAGATGATTGATTGCTTAACTTGTCTTAGAACTCTCTTGGCTAGAAATGCTTTGCTGTCATCTGTATCTGATCATTTTTCTTATAATATAGCTGTCAAAAACCTTTGTAATTTTTTCATCTTTCTTGCTTTGAACTCACATAGGTATGATTCTGCCCTTTGTGGCTGTGGCATAAAGACAAGTGTCTACTAAAGTCAATGTAACACAAATGCAAAACTGATACAAATGGAAAGAAAATCAGTTAGGCACACAGCTACCTGGTTTAAAACAAGCCAGGTATTATTTTTCTAATGCAGAATTCTAAATGTTTACGTTTACAGATGGTGATTGTTGTTTTCTTTTTAGTATTTGTGAAAAATGCCAGATTGCAACATTAGAGTTTAAGGTTTATTATGGGCAAGAATAAATTACATCATAATCTTTGCTGTTCAAATGTCTCCATAGTGTAACTTAAAAGGACTAGGTGTGGCTGTGCAGCAAAATATATTTTTTTTTTTTCTTTTAATTTTCTATGACACTTCAGAGTATGAAACAATGGTAAAAGTAGCACTGGTGGGGTTTTTTTCTGAACTTGCAATTTAAAATAAAAATAAAAGCTAAATCCATGTTGTCTTCTCTAAGATTAGGACATTTCTCCTGGGTTTTAATCCAGTGTCTGTCATATTGTCCCATTACTGACTTTTACAGATTATTAGATTTCCAGAGTATATACCCAAAAGTATAGGCCTAAGCATACTCCAAGCAGCTTATTTCAAATAATGTAAAATCAGATTTCTCCTTGTCAGGAAACAAGTTGAGAACATAAGTTGAAGAGAAAAATACCACTTGGGTGCTGATGATTCTCATTCACTACTATTTAGTTAGAATTGAGTTATATCAGAAGTACAAGGTGAAAACCTAAATAATCTCTGCAGTTCTTCGGCTGTTTATTCTAACTTAGACGTACTTCTCCAGCAATGAATATGGCTTCAGATAGCATTCTGGAAAGGGCTGTTGAAGAGCAAAACAATGGTATTTGCACAATCAATATAAATTAAGTATTCCACTTCCTCAAATTAATTAGTTTCAAAGTGTTTACCACCCAGTGTCCTTTTAGTATGCAGTGACTGTTAGTGAGAGAATGACAGAAACAGCAGCGACAGGGCACACTCTCAGAAGGGCACTGATATCCATCAGTTCTGTTAAATGTCGATCAGTTATGATGGCAAGGTACATGGCTGATCAGTGCTAAAATAAAGTAAGATTTACAACAAAGATGGCATTGCAATGCCAAGAGGAAAATTATTAATGCCTTCAAATACATAAATAAAATTAATACTGTCTACTATGCATACTCTAATTATTTTCTTTTTTTTTGTTGGTGTTGTTCTTACTAAAGGTTGGCATAACCATGACCTTTAACATAGCAGACAGATAATGGGTGCCTATACTTAAAGTATTTTTTTTTACTTGCTTTATTCTTTGTCTAGTTATTCTTATTGCTAAGATGGTAACATCACTCCACCAGATGTTGCAGCCAAGCACCATTTCTTCAGTAATTGCTTAGAGAGTGTTTTCCTATTTCCTTTTGACACATCCATCCCTGTTGTTTTGAACAGGAATGAATGAACCCTATAAAGCTAACCACTGCACATTATGACTGCAGTGTTGTCTATAAAATGCCGTGTGAGGTAGATCTAGAGTGGTGATATTTTGAAGGTAATAAAAGACTTCATTGCTTTGTTACTGCTGCTTATTCCCATATTTAAGTGTTGCAGGTGACCAAAACTAACGGTTTGAAATGCACCATATTTTAATGAATGCTCCCATATTTTAATGAATATTCACTTGTGATGATCACTGAAATCAACTGAAGGCTGGGTTTATCAAGGTTTGTGGGCAAGATTTTCCTACTAGCCACTTCATTTCAACTATTTTCATTTACAGTGCTGACTTGCTTGCTCCATCTTGCTGTATTTTTTCTGTCAGTGTCCAAGTTTGAAGTATTTGACCTTTTTCACTGCGCCTTTCTTTAGACTCTGCATGGCCTTTCATTTATTAACTGATATTTCTGTTGATCCAGTCTGACTTGTACCAGAACATTTACTTTGCCAGACCAAGCTGGCCAATTTGCAGAAGAAAACCAGTCCCTAACTCTCGCCTTCCTTTTAATGCATGGTTATTTAATTTGCTAATGGAATTGCAACTTAATAGTATGTATACACACAGAGGGCCAAATTCCTGCAGTGAAATCCACGGAGATATGCATGCAGAAGGAATGTAGATTTGGTTTATTTTTATGACACTTTTTTTCATTAAGGACTAAGCCAGAAAACCACAGCTATAGCTAAGATGAATACAGTCAGGCAGATCCTGAAGTTTGCTTTATCCATGGCTGGTATTCCACTGTAAACCTTGTTTTATGTCTGTGTTCCTTCAGTAGAGTTTGTCGAGAGGAGAACATAACAAAAGAAAACCATATTATTTTTCACTTATCTATGACCAGACAAACTATCTGTATAGTGAGAGGGAGTTTGTCTGTGTAACAAGTCAGAACATTTGAGAGCTTCGGCCTGTGTTCCTGTTACAGACTTCACAATAACATGCCATCCAAGATTATTTTTGTTGATAAGGATCAAAGGGCCATATCAATTTCTAGAAAAATGAGAGGAAAGGTCTCCCTGTTTCCTCACTCGGATTCAGATCTGGCCCTGTCCTATTATTGGTGACTCTGCAGAGTGACTGGATTATACAGGCAGTTCTGCTTGTCATAACACGCTTGTGAATCAAATGAGTGGGTTGCTGGTTGCACAAAACTCTCGACCTTCATTCCTTTGCCAGCAATGATAAGATCTCACTCTATGTCTCCTAGCAGAAGATAAAAGATGAGTCAATGCCTATTATGCCATCAAACAGGGATTTTGCTGAATTGTGAGCAATGCCTCCCACAACGTCATGCGAGGACATTTCCTTCTTCTCTCGCCAGGCTTTTACTTTAGCTACAGACTATCAGGTGGCCGCATGTTTGCACATGCATTTGTTGCTTACACAGATGCATATTGTGCCTGTTCTCTATATCAGCAAGTG